CCAAACTAAGATGGACTAGGAAGAAAGGCCTGGTGATCGACTTCCAAAAATCAGCCAATGAAAACCCTGTGGATCCCAACGGTCCAATCCACAGCCGATCACGGGGATGGTGCAGGACCAGGCAGCATTTTGTTCCACCGTGCATGGGGTCACCATGAGTCAGGGGCCAACTCGACAGCAGCTGATAACAACTCCTATGTCTGGCGTTGTGCGTTTTTATGTCAACTTTCTATCACCGAATCTCAGCAACACTCCTGGGCAGCGGAGGATATTACTTCCGATGCAGAGAGTTGAAAGGGTTCCGCCCAAGTGTGGGTGTGGGATTTGAACTCAGGTTTCCTGGCTCAGAGCCCAGAGCTCCTTACGCTATGACATCACCTCCCGGCGTGTCGTGCCCACAAAACACTGAGACTTGTTTGCTCCTTATCTTGCCTGGCCCAGGACCGGGCGGCGCTTTGTTCCCTTGTCTGGGGGGTGGTCATGATTCGGGGCCAACGGGAGGCAGCTGACAGCACCACCACGCTGCTGGCCCCTGGCGGGCTCTCTCTGTCTCTGAGCACCATGCTCTAAAATGCACCTCCCTCCTCAGCTCAGCTCCCCAAACTCACAGCCGCTGGCCGGCTGCTCTCCCCGCTCCTGACCCCTCCAGGGAGTAGCAGTGGCCTGGAGGGCTCTGAGGGGCCCCGCCCAGATGGGCAGGGGGCAGGCACAGCCAGAGAGAGACCACCGGGTGCTCATTTTTGGCCTCACCACTGACCAGCCACTGGGTCACGCCAAGTCTTCATACTGAGCCTCGGTTTCCCCACCTGCAAAACGCCACTGATTGCTGTGGAGCTGACTCCGGCTCACGGTGGCCCCACGTGTGTCAGAAGTGCCCTCTGTAGGGTTTTCAGTGGCCGATTTTTTGGCAGCAGATTGCCAGGCCTTTCTTTCGAGGTGCCTCTGGGTAGACTTGAGCCTCCAAGCTTTCAGTTAGCAGCCGAGTGCATTCACCGTTTGCACCACCCAGGAACTGTAAAATGGCAAAATAATAAAACACGTGGCCCAGAGCCCAGATCCTGGGCCTCCTGCCGACCAGCCGCCGAGCCTCAGTGTACCCACCCGTGAAGTGGGAATAGACGCCTGCTACCCAGGACTTGTGAGGGAAGTCAGTGAGGCGCTGCAGCCCCCGGCCCCCAGCAAACGCCTGTTGCACGTCTGCTGAGTGGCCAGGTGGGTCTGCGGGGAGGCGCAGACGGCTGCACTCCCTGGGCCAGAGGGGCTTAGCACCTGCTCACAGCGCACTACAAGGGCTGCCTGTTGCCACGGGCTGGAGTTCTCTGTCATCCCTGCTGGCAGATGCTGCTGCGTCGGTGACCTAATCCTCACAGCATGAGGCTACACGGACAAGTCCACACGCCCGCCTCCGAGCCAGCCCAGCAGCTCAGCTCCGCCTGCTGCCCGGGCGAGGGGCCGGGAGATCCCGCACCTCCACCTGGGCACACGTGCGTCCTGGAAGACCAGCTCCTCCCCCAGGTCCTCCCATGCTGGCTGGGTGTCCTCAGGCGCCTGAGGCCTGGCCCCCTATCGGTAAAAGGGTCTAGTCTTTGTCCATGGAGAGCGTGAGGGGATTTACGGGAGACGCCGCAGGCACGGGGTTGAGCTGATGACCACTCGGCCAACGGTCACGTTTTAAATCATGAGCTCTGTCCTCGCCGTCAGCATTGCTGTCAGGTCTGTGGTAACAAGGCTGTGTGGGGTCTGGCCCAGGCACTCACCTGGTGTGGAATTTAAGGGTGAGGAGGGCAAGGCTGGTGAGGCAATGGCCTCAGGCACAGAAGTTAAGGGCGAGGCGAGTAAGGCACTCACCGACTGTACACGGTTTAAGAAGGTGCCAACGCCTCAACTCTGGCGATTGTCTTAGTCATCTAGCGCTGCTCTAACAGAAATACCACGAGTGGATGGCTTCAACAAAGAGAAGTTTATTCTCTCACAGTCCAGTAGGCTACAAGTCCAAATTCAGGGCGTCGGCTCCAGGGGAACACTTTCTCCATCAGCTCTGGAGGAAGGTGCGTGTCGTCAACTTTCCTTTGGTCTGGGAGCATCTCAGCGCAGGAACCTCAGGTCCAAAGGACACGCTCTGCTCCCAGCGCTGCTTTCTTGGTGGTGTGAGCTCCCCCTGTCTCTCTGTTTGCTTCTCTCTTTTATATCTCAAAAGAGATTGGCTTAAGACACTATCTAATCTTGTAGATCTCATCAATATAACTGCCACTAATCCATCGCATTACATCATAGAGATAGGATTTACCACACATAGGGAAATCGCATCAGATGACAAAATGGTGGACAATCATACAATACTGGGAATCATGACCTAGCCAAGTTGACAGATATTTTGGGGGACACAATTCAATCCATGACAGTGACAAATCATATTTTAATGCAATATTCAAAAAAGCAAAATGAATGCAAAAAATCTATAGTGAACAAAATAGCAAACTTTTCATCAAAGCCAGGTCTGCCTGGGTCCCGGCATTAGGGTGCCATGATCCCTGTCTTTCTTTTAAATTTTGATGTTCTGTTCACTGTTGATTTCTTTTTATTTTTTGCATCCATTTTGAGTTTTTTTTAAAAAAAAAAAACTTTGCATTAAAATGGGACTTACCATGATGACTGAGTTTTTGGGGGCCCTTTAAGTTCTGCCCCCCGAGGCAGTGCCTCACTTCCCTCCCCTTTAAATTAGCCCCAGCCCTGTCAGATCCTGTCTTTGTTTGAAATGTGGGTATTTGTTTCTGACGGATTATTCTGCACTTGTTTTACTTTTGAAAACTATCACATCATAATGTTGCTTATCTTGATGACTCAGTTTTTCTTTGTTATTGTTGTCAGATTCCATCAAGTCGGTTCCGACTCATAGCGACCCCACGAACAACAGAACGAAACACTGCCCGGTCCTGCGCCATCCTCACAATCGTTGTTATGCTTGAGTCCATGGTTGGAGCCACTGTGTCAGTCCATCTCGTTGACGGTCTTCCTCTTTTTCCCTGACCCTCTACTTTACTTTTTAGTTTTTCTTTAGTGCCCTCAAATTATTAAGTGGCAAAGTTGGAGTCCAGAGGAAATAGACCCCCCACCCCAAATCCAGCCCTCTCTCCACCTTACCCACTGGCCCTGCAGAGGAGAGCTGTCTAAGCACCAAAACAAAAGGTCCTGACATGCTCTTGGGATAGAAGCCCATTCAAACAACATCACTGCTGGATGTCCCCAACTAAGAAACGCTTCCCGATTCCTCTTTCCTTCCCAAATCAATCATGGAATCCCTGAAAATGAAACAACCCACTCTCAACCAACGGGTCAAAGAAGAAACCACTGTAGAAATAGAGAACACAGGGAGAGACGGAAAATGAAAACGCAGAATACCAAAACAGAAGGGGGGTTGCTAAAGTAGGGTTTCCGGGGAAATCTATAGCTGTGAATGCCTACATTAGACAAGAAAAAAGCTCTCCAACCAACAGCCTAACTTTACGACTTGGGGAACTAGAAAAAGAAAAGCAAACTAGACCTGAAGCCAGTAGAAGGAAGGAAGTCACAGAGATGAGAGTAGAGGTAAACAGAATAGAGACTAGAAAGACAACAGAGAGAATCCATAAAACTGAAAGTTGTGTCTTTGAAAAGATCAACAAAACTGACAAACCTTTAGCTAGGCTGAGGAGGGGGAAAAAAAAAAAAAAGAGAGACAGAAACGTAAATAACTAAAGTCAGAAATGGAAGTTGGGACATTACTACCGACTTTACAGAAAAGAAAAGAATTACAAGAGACTGCTATGAGCAATGATGTGCCAACAAATTAGGTAATCTACACGGAATGGACAAATTCCTAGAAACACAAAAATTAGCAAATCAGTCACGGTTTTCGATTCAGTACACTGTGGACTGCCAGAAGAATGAACACATCAGCCTTAAAAGAAATACAACCAGAATGCTCTTTAGAACGGAGGATGGAGAGGCTTTGTCTTGCTTACCTTGGACACATTATCAGGAAAACTAAGCTCTAGAAAAGGACATCATGTTTGGTAAAGTCGAAAACCGAATCTGTTGCCATGAGTTGAGTCAACTCCAACTTATGGCAACGCCACGTGTTACAGGGTAGAACTGAGCTCTATAGGGTTTTCTTGGCTATAATCTTTGTGGAAGCAGATGGCCAGGACTTTCTTCTGTGGCACTGCTGAGTGGGTTCAAACCTCCGACTTTTCAGTTAGTAGTCAACTGAAAATCATTTGTGTCGCTCAGGAAACTTGGTAAAGAATCGGTGAAGACAAGGGAAACCTTTAATGAGGTCGGTTAGCACAACAGCCGCAAGGATGGACTGAAGCACAGCAGTAATCGCAATGATGGTGCGGGACCACGTCGGAGCCGACCTGACAGCACCTGACAACAGCGCTGTCCAGTTTTGATTCCCGGCCAAGGCACCGCACGTGCAGCCACCACCTGTCAGTCCGTGGAAGCTCGTGTGGTGCTGGGATGCTGAACAGGTTACAGTGGAGCTTCCAGCTAAGACTAGGAAGAAAGGCCTGGCAATCTACTTCCAAAAATCAGTGACAACCCTGTGGATCCCAAGGGTCCGATCCACAGCCGATCACGGATACGGCGCAGGAGTGGGCAGCATTTTGTTCCACCGTGCATGGGGTCACTGTGAGTCGGGGGCCGACTTGACAGCAGCTAAGAACAACTCCTATGTCTGGCGTTGTACGTTCTTATGTCAACTTTCTATCACTGAATCTCAGCGACACTCCTGGGCAGTGGAGGATATTTATTACTCCCAACACAGAGAGTTGAAAGGGTTCCGCCCAAGTGTGGGTGTGGGATTTGAACTCAGGTTTCCTGGCTCAGAGCCCAGAGCTCCTTACGCTATGACATCACCTCCCGGCGTGTCATGCCCACAAAACACTGCGACTTGTTTGTTCCTTTTTCCAAAAAAACAAGAGATTCCAAGCTGGTGAAGTCAGACACAAGTGACATACCTTTTTGAGTTTTCCTGCGAAGCACCACTTTATAAACCTGTTTGAGAAAGGAGAGAGAGAGAGAGAAAAGAACGGTTAAATATTTTTCTACTTAAGTAGGAGTCAGACACCTACACCCAGTTTTTCTCAGAGAAATACTTGGCTGTACCCAAGAACGCAGCATGCAAATTAGAAACGGCTGTGTCATCCCGAGCGGCTCGGGGGATCAACCTCTTCGCCTTACAACCCATCCACTCAGGAAGGACGTCTGTGTTTCTGCCAGGAGAAGGCTTGCTTTCTTCTAGAATCTGTATTCTTCCACTGCAGAACGCGGGGCCCCAGCCCACACCACGTTCAAAGTCCAGTGGCACACCAGACCACCCCAGTGCAGGAAAAACAAAAATATTCAGGAACGCAGCCGGGAAAATGGAATATACTTTGTGTTTTTCCATCTGGGGTTTCTAGTTTTGTGCAAACCACGTGCCGGGGCAGGGGGAGCAGTGGAGAATGCACGCTTGGGGGCAAACCAATTAACCCCGGGCGGAAGGAGTGATAGGTATATGGTGACAGGAAGGGATGCTGGACGCCCAGGGCCGGGAGGTCAACAGACCAGGAAATAAGTCCCCGTGATCAGGACCCTGGGGGTGGGCTGGGCTGGGGCACTTGAGGGCAGCCATTTTCCGTGGAACTGAATCCTGTTCCATGCAGAATCCTGCGCACAGCCACGATTAGCACCCCACTTTGACACCCAGTACCTGCGGGTGACACGGGGGTGATGCCAGGTCCCGTGGGGGTGCCGGGCCCCGGCACACACCCCACTGTTGCCACTGCATCAGCTGACCTGGGGATGCACCAGCCTGAGGAGGCACCCCCTTTCCTACCTCCCACAAAGCCATATACTATGGATCGAACTGCATCTCCCCAAAAGTTATGTTGAAGTCCGGGCCCCTGTACTTGTGAGTGTGACCCTGTTTGGAAGCACAAGTTTTCTTTTGTTATGTTAATGAGGTCCCCAGAGGCAGCTTGGAAGAAAGGTCTGGCGATCTATGTGTGAAAAATCAGCCACTGAAAACCGCGTGGAGCACAGTCCCACTCTGCAACACACAGGGGCTCCATGACTCGATGGCGGCTGGTTTGGGTTTTTTGGAGTACGGAATGAGCTAGGGATCAAATTAAATTTTTGTGCAAATAATTAATGCAGGTTCTCTCCCCTCTCGGCACTGCTGACATGGGGGCCAGATCCTTCTCTGGGGTGGGGCGTCCTGTGCACTGTAGGGTGTTGAGCAGCATCCCTGGCCTCCACTCACTCAGTGCCAGTAGCATCCCCTTCCCCAGACGTGACACCCACAAATGTCCCCTGACATCGCCCAGTGTCCCCTGGGGGGCAGACCTGCCCAGGAGGGGACTCTGGGTTAGCTATGATGTCCCTCTGCCCTGGGCCACGCCAGGCGGGTTCTAGGCGCACAGGTCCCCTGGAAGGTCTGCAGACACAGTGGCTGGTTCTGTGGCTCCTGCTACTGAGCTGCAGACCCCACTCAGAAGCTGGCAGCCCACCCCATCATGGTCCAGAGGCAGCCAAGTCCCCAGGCCTCGTTCCACAGCAGGCTTGCCTGGTGAGATGACAGAAAGCACCCGGATGCCTGGCCAGACTTCCGGAGCTCCCAGAGGCCCGGCGGGCACTCACGAGGGGGGCGTTTCCCTCAGCTCTGATGGGTCCTGTGGTCCCCAGAGCTGGCCCAGCCCCTTCTTCCTTTACAAACATTTGCTATTTCCACAAACCAGCGGGGTTTTTTCCACCTACGTGCAGGGTATATTCTCTGCTGCCACTCATGTGGCCCCGGGCCTCGTGACTCAGGCCTTTCTCGGGAGCCCAGGCCCTGCAGGTAGGGTCTGAGGCCACAGGGGCCTGAGGCCAGAGGGAAACCTCTCATACCAGACCCAGCACGGGAAGCCAGGCCCCACTCTCTGGGGGGCCCCAGGTCCCAGAGGCTTGTCAGCAGGAAGGAGACGGCTGGGACAGCTTTCCCTAAGCCCGGCCTTCTCCTCCTCAGCACTGCTGACATTTGGAGCCAGATACTTGTTTGTTGTGGGGTTTGGTCCTGTGCACTGCAGGCTGTTGAGCAGCAACCCTGGCCTGCACCCACTCAAAGCCAGTAAAAAAAACCCAAAAAACAAAAAAACCCATTACCCTCGAGTCGATTCCGACTCATAGCAACCATCCACCCACTGGATGCCAGTAGCACAAGTTATTCATTTGGCAAAAAAAACCACTGAGTTTGATCCCTACCTCACACCACACACCAGAATAAATTCCCGCTGGGTCAGACGGTGTAAACCAGGGGGCCCTCCAGCTCCTGTGACATCCCTCCTCTCTCCTCCCTACGCAGCGTGCGGATTTAAACGTGGGCAGCGTCCTAGGACGTCAGTAGGTCAGATGATTACGGGACGCAGAGTCTCTTAGGGGTCAGTAGGGTTCTCACTCGGGGTGATTCTGCCCCCAGGGGATACTGGGTGATGTCTGCGGACATTGTGGTTGTCATGACTTGGGGGTGCTACTGGTATCGAGTGGGTGGAGGCCAGGGATGCTGCTCAACACCCTACAGTGCACAGGACAGCCCCATCCCAGAGAAGGATCTGGCCCCCATGTCAGCAGTGCCGAGGTCATGAAACCCTGTCATAGATATTGAAAGTGAGCGGAGCTTTCGACTGAGCAAAGATAATGGTTACTGGTCATTAAAAGAATAAGATAAACAGAATCAGCTGCAGAGCTGCCTCTGTGCAGCTGTGATGAGTCGGGACCCCGTGTTAGAAGTGACCCCTCCCTGCCGGACGCAGGCCGAGGGCAGTGGGGGGTCGGCAGCCCCTCTGGGCTCTGATGGGGACCCTGCTCCAGGCCTGCTGGCACCCTAGGACCTGCACGCCTGGGCGTGGGAGGAGGCAGGGATGCTGCCGGGAGGGAGGGAGGTGAGTTTCTTTCTGAGAAGCAGAAAGCAGAGAAACTGCAGCCCAGTGTGGAGGAGGGGATTACCCTCTGGCTTCCCCAGAAGAGCTTCGAAAAGAGAAGCACTTAGGTTTCTTTTACTGCCTGGGGCAGCTTCCTGCAGGGGTGGTTTTCTCTCCAGTGCTTCTCAGAGTTAAAAGGAAAAAAAAAAAAAAAAAAAGGAAATGATCTATTTTTAAGTCCTTCCAGGAGAGGCCCTGGAGTGAGGGCTTTTTACGGCTGAGAGAACTGAGGCCCAGGAAGGCTTAGACAAGAGCCGGCAGAGATGAACACAGACAGAGGCCTCGCCCAGCCCGGCCTCAGTTTACCTAAACCCGCAGCACTGCTGACATTTGGGGCTGGATTATTCTCTGTGCTGGGGGCTAGATTTCTCGCCTTCCAAGAGGGAGACCCAGGTTTGATTCCCAGCCAGTGGACCGTATGCACGGCCACCACCCGTCTGTCCGTGGAGGTGTGCGTGTTGCTAGGATGCTGAGCAGGTTTCAGCAGAGCTTCCAGCCTAAAATGGACTAGGAAGAAAGGCCTGGCAATCAACTTCCAAAAATCAGCCAATGAAATCCCCATGGATCACAGAAGTCCGATGGGCAGCTGAACATGGGGTCACCACGAGTTGGGGGCCAACTTGTCTGCAGCATGTTCGCACAAGAGCCCCAGTGGGCGAGGCCAGCCTGCATTCTACAGGAAAGCCGGGCCCGGAGGTTCACCGATGAATTCGGTGCCACCGGGGTAACGGCTAGCTTTCTGTGCTGTGTGTGTGATAAGTAGTGAATAATAAACAGACCCTCTGTAAAACGCCAGATAATTCTTTCAGTTTTGCAGGCCAAATGGCCTCTGTTGCAATTACTCGATCCTGCTCTTGTAGCGTGAAAGCAAAGGAGCCCTGGTGGCACAGTGGTTAAGCGCTCGGCTGCTAACTAAAAGGTTGGTGGTTTGAACCCACCCAGCGGCTCTGTGGGAGAAAGACCTAGTCATCTGCTCCCCTAAAAAAACCTAGAAAACCCTATGGGGCAGTTCTCTGTCCCGTGAGGTCACTATGAGCCGGAATGGACTCCACGGCACACAACAACGGTATGGATGCAGCCGTAGACAATACGCAAACAAATGGACGTGGCCATGTGCCGATAAAACTTAATTTACAGACACAGGCAGAGGGCTGGACCTGAGCCGCTGGCAGCAGTTTGCGGAACCCTGAGCTAGAAAGACGAACGGTCCCTCCGAGGAATGGCAGTTCCTTAAAATGTTAAACGTGGTGTTGCCACGGGACCCAGCAATTCCACTCTTCAGTGAGATGAAAGAGAAATTCAGAGAAATGAGAAACGAAAGCATGTTCGCACAAAAGCTTGTACAGGCGTGTTCCTGGTAGCACTCTGCGTGAGAGCCCAAAGGTAGAAACACCCCAAGAGTCCGTCAGCAGGTGATGGATAAACACCACGTGCTCCATCCATACGCTGGGACAGTAACTCAGCCGTAAAAGATGAGGCACTGATACGCACTGCAGCTTGGAGGAACCGCGGAAGCCTTACGCTGGGTGGAAGGAGCCCCATAGGAGAGGTCCCATGTTGTATGATCCCACTCATAAGGAACATCCAGAACGGCCAAAGCTATAGAGACAGAAAGTAGATTAGCGGTTGTCTGGGGCTGGGGGAGGGAGGACGGGGTGACTGTTAAGGGGTGCAGGGTTTCTTTCTGGGGTGATGAGAATGCCCTGGAACAGTGGTGATGGGGAGGGAGAGAAACTGAAGTGGCGGAGAACATGGGGAAGGGGGAGGCATTAGGATAACCTTGCCGTTCGGGGGCCACCTCCGCCAGCATGAATTAACTTATGTCGTCCTAAATGACATACTGAAGTCCTAACCCCTGGCACCTGTGAACTTGACCCTGTTTGGAAATAAGGTCTTGGAAGGTGTTATCAGTTAAGGTAAGAGCCCTGGGTGGCGCAAATAGTTTGCACTGGACCACTAACCTAAAGGTTGGTGCTTTGAACCCACTCGGTGGTGCCACGGAGGAAAGTCCTGGTGATCAGCTTCCATTGAGATTACAGCCAAGAAAACCCTATGAGCCTCCGTTCCACTCTGTAACACACAGGGTCACTATAAGTTGGAATCGACTCAACATCAACGGTCTTTTTTTTTTTTTTTTTTAATCAGCTAATATGAGATTATACTGGAATAGCAAAGAAAAAAAAAAAATTCAAACCCGTTGCCACTGAGTTGATTCAACTCACAGTGACCCTATAGGACACAGCAGAAGTCCCCGATAAGGTTTCCAAGGAGCGGCTGGTGGATTCGAACTGCCGACATTTTGGTCAGCAGCCGAGCTCTTAACCGCTGCACCACCGGGGCTCCTACTGGGGAAGGGTGGGCCCTAAATTCCATATGACGGGTGTCCTCAGAAGAAGAGAAGCAGAGATACAGACAGACAGACAGACGCAGGGCAGAGGGCCACGTGATGACGGAGGCAGAGACTGGAGTGATGTGGCCACAAGCCCAGGAATGCCTGGGGCCCCAGAAGCCGGGAGAGACAAGGAAGGAGCTTACCCGAGAGCCTCCAGAGAGAGCACGGCCCTGCCCACACCTTGACTTCAGATTTCTGCCTTCAGAGCTGAGAGAGCAAATTTCTTTTTTTTAAGCTCCTAGTCTGCGATCCCTGGTGGCGCCGTGGTTAAGCATTTGGCTGCTAACCAAAAGGGCGCAGTTCAACTCCACCAGGCGCTCCTTGGAAACCCTGTGTGGCAGCTCTACTCTGTGCCGTAGGGTCACTATGAGTTGGAATCGACTTGACTCAACCGGTGTGGTTCTTTTAGTTTGTGTACTTCGGAGTCCCTAGACGGAATGGTTCAGCGCTCGGGTAATGGAAAGGCTGGAGGCTTGCGTCCACCCAGAGGTACCTCAGAAGAAAGGCCTGGCGTTCTGCTTCTGAAAAATCAGCTGTTGAAAACCCCATGGCACACAGTTGTAGTCTGACACACTTGGGGTCTCTGTGAGTCAGGGTCGGCTCCACGGCTGCTGGTTTGTGGTGCTTTGTTGGGGGCCCCAGGAAACTCTGACCCTGGGGGTGCTCCTGTCTCTGGGGAAAGCCTTTTACCTGCACCCCAGTATCGCGTCTATTAAATGGCGGTTAACAGCCCTCCCCGGGGCCTGCACGTGCTGCAGACCAGCTGCTGTGTGCTTATCAGGCGTGTTCTGCTCCTCGCCTGTCAGGGAGCCGGGAAGAAACGCCGCTTCGGGCTCCTTCCGTTTTTCCCTCTCTTTCTTTCCTCCGCATCCCGTGGGACTGCTCTGGAGAGCTGCCGGGAAGTGAGTGAGGCACAGCACGGCACACGCAGACGCAGACGCAGGCCCGCATCACTCACATGCATGTTCCCTGAGCAAGGGTCAGACGGCTGCTGGCTGGGCCGGAGGTCCCAGACCGCGTTTCCCAACCGGGAGGCGCCTCGGATGACGTGCAGGCCCGCAGCCGGGGTAGGGGTGGGGGGACGGGAACAGCAAGGAAAACAAACGCTGGTGGATTCCAGCGGTGCGCCTGCGCCCAGTCCCCCCTGGAACCTGCTCCCTCGTGGAGGGCCCCAGAGCCCCGAGCGGCAGGACCACAGCTGGGAGGGGGACTCAG